ATGGACACGCTTGAAGCTCTGACTCGGGTGGGGCAAGGGCAATATATGTAACCTAAACATTTGTACCCCCGTAATATGCTGAAATAAAAACAAATTAAATAAAAAAATCCCCACAAGTGACAGCTCACATCTTTAAAAAAAAATATAACAGAACCTAAACAATTTTCAGAAGAAAAATAAGTTGGGGCAAGTCTAAAGTGTATCATAGAGAAAGAAAAGCAATAGCTCTTTTATCAAATGCAAGTCTGGGAGGAAAAAAGCAACAAACACATATCCGGGGTAAAGAAACATTTTTAAATAATCCAACTTTTTTCTGTACCTTGGTTCACCATACTTCACAGGTGTGCTCTGTTACCATACAGAGTAAATAAAGCATTTAGGTTTTTTATTGTCTGAAAAGTAAGTTTTTCATATCCCTGCCCCTGTTTTGACTTAGCCTTCTTTATTATCCGCTGCTGTAGGGTACCAAAAATTTTTTTTTTTTTTTTGAGACAAGGTTTTGCTCTGTTGCCCAGGCTGGAGTGCAGTGGCATGATCATAGCTCACTGCAGCCTCCAACCTGGGTTCAAGCGATCCTCCTGCCTCAGCCTCCCGAGTAGCTGGGACTACAGGTGCATGCCAGGACCCCCAGCTAAATTTTCTTATTTTTTTTTTTTTGTAGAGATGGGGGTATCACTATGTTGCCCAGGCTGGTCTCGAACTCCTGGGCTCAAGAGATCCTTCTGCCAAGGCCTCCCAAAGCCCTGGGATTACAGGCATCAGTCACCATGCCTGGCCAGATACCATAATTTTTTAAAAGACCCTTGGCTGGGCGCGGTGGCTCACGCCTGTAATCCCAGCACTCTGGGAGGCCAAGGATGGAGGATCACTTGAGATCAGGAGTTCAAGACCAGCCTGAGCAAGAGTGAGACCCCATCTCTACTAAAAATAGAAAAAATTAGCTGGGTGTCGTGGTGTGGTGCCTGTAGTCTCAGCTACTCCAGAGGCTGAGGCAGGAGGATCGCTTGAGCCCAGGAGTTAGAGGCTGCAATGAGCTATGATGACACCACTGCACTCTAGCCTAGGCAACAGAGCGAGACCTTGTCTCAAAAAATAAAATAAAATAAAAATAAAAGACCCTAAAGACCAAGGATGTGGAGAAGGAGGAAAGAGAGCGGGAAGGGGAGGAAGGGGAGGAGGGTGTTAACATTCGTCAGCACTTGCTATATTCCAGGCACCCGTCCAGGCACTGCCTGTGTCTTATCTCATGACATCCTTAGTTCTCCTATCCTCAATTTCATGGAAACTGAGGCCCCAGGCAATTGACTGAGAAAGCCTGAGGTCACGGTGGCAAGTACCTGCACCAAGATTCCAAGAGCCCAGGAAGGAAGCGCAAGCCCAGAGTCCACTCTTAAAAGAACCACCGTGGAGTCAAACTCTCGTAACTGTCCCCCTGGGGACCCATGAATCAGATGACAACACTTAGAGACGGAGCTGCTTGCCTAAGCTCTAATTACTTTCAGTTCGAGGAAGCCTCTTACCAGAAATCGTCCACCACCTCGACCGCAAGTGGAAATCAGCAAGCAGAGGAAAGAGAAGCCACTGGATCTCTTTGAGACCCAGCCACGAGCCATGTCCTCACCCGGCCGGGCTCTGCATTTCCGAGAGTCAATGATTACAGTGGCTGGACACCCGGCAGGTGTCTCTGCAGGGCCCCGTCTTAATAAATGACTCACATGAGAATCCTCATCTGAAATGTTAATTGTATATATTTAAGGGGTACAGTGGGATGTTTTGATATATGCATTTAGTGTGGGTGATTAAATCAAGCTAATGAACATATCCATCACCACACATACCTCTCATTTTTGTGTGTGTGGTTTGTCGATTAGGAATAAAATTTTCTAGAAAGAGTAAATAAATACAGTGCAAATGTTTTCATGAAAAAAAACAAAAGAAGCCTCATCTCAGGCTCTGCTTCTAAAAAAAAACTGACCAAAAGCAGATGGTAATCCTTATTTTTGTTCATTTTATTTCATTTGTTTTTATTTTTTTTAACAAGGTAATAATTGCCTGTTGGAAAAAAAACTCAAATAATGCAGAAGTATATAAAAAATTAAAAGTCCTCAGTCCTCATCCTTATACACAGAGGTAACTACTGTCAAAAGCTTAGCGGAGGCTGGGCGCAGTGGCTCACATCTGTAATCCCAGCACTCTGGGAGGCCAAGGCGGGAGGATCACTTGAGAACAGCCTGAGCAAGATCGAGACCCCCATCTCTACAAGACTACAAAAAATAGGAAAAAATTATCCAGGCATGGTGGTTCACGCCTGTAATCCCAGCCACTTAGGAGGCTGAGGCAGGAGGATCACCTGAGGCCAGGAGTTTGAGGCTGCAGTGAGCTATGATGATGCCACTGCACTCTACCCAGAGCAACAGAGTGAGATCCTGTCTCAAAAAAGAAAAGGGCTCTGGGGCTGTTGCAATGAAATGAATGTATTTTGCATGTGAGAAGGACATGACTTTTGGGAGCCAGGAGCAAAACATTATGGCTTGACTATGTCCCCCAAAGCTCATGTGCCGGAAACGTAATCCCCAATACAACAGTGTTGAGAGACGAGACCTTTCAGAGGTGATTAGATCATAGAGGAGGGGCCCTCCTGAATGGATAAATGTCATTATCATGGGAGTGGGTTTGTCATAGAAGGGAGTTAGGCCCCCGTTTGCTCTCTCACACAGACTCCCTTTCCTCCTTCCACCTCCTGCCGTGGGGCGACACAGTAAGAAGCCCCTCGCCAGATGCCAGCACCGTGCTCTTGGACTTCCCAGCCTCCAAAACCGTGAGCACATAGATTTCTGTTCTCTATAAATCGCCCAGTCTTAGGTATTCTGTCATAACAGCACAAAACAAACCAAGACAGCTACTGTATGGGTCAGCGTCGATCTAGAAAATTTCCACCCTCACAGGGAGTCCTGTTGGACAACACTGTTCTACTACTTGCTCGTTCACCTCACGGTATATGTCTTGTAGAACAAGAACTGCAAAACGTGTCAAATTTTGTAACTGGTAGAGGAATAAATTGGGGGGAGTAATGTACTGTTTTCTCTACCTTTGAATATTTAAATAGTGCTATAAACGAAAAGAATATGTTTGGAACATCTTTATAAGTCCTACCTCATGCTTTTTAACAGCTGCATAATATTCCATTGTATCCATGCATAGACTAGAATTGTGCCAAAATATCTAGCCAGCCAAATATCAAACCAAAAAAAAAAAATTTACACTCCTTTTTCCATGGTGTCATTTTGTCAGTAGGAGGTGGCCACCCAGTCATGGACTACATTTCCCAGATTCCATTGCAGCCAGGTACGGTCATGTGACCACGAGTGGCGGCACCATGTGTGACCACCAGATCTGGGTTTTTACAAAGTGGTTGTGCCTTCTCCACTGTCTCTTTCCTCTTCTGCCATTGTCTGCGAAAGACTCTGAAACACCGGTATGACTTAGCTACAAGACAAAAGGGGCCTGGGTGCATGGAGGAAAACCACCCACTAGCCAGAAACGTTGACACTGAACTCCCACGTGAACAAGAATGAAACTTTTTGTATAAAGCAACCTCTTCTTAGTAAGGGACTGACAGCTTGGGGGTTATTTGTGACATCAGCTAAGGTTACTCGAACCAACTCAACAATTTATCTAACTGGTCACCTTGTATAAATAAACATTTAGTTTATTCGAGCGGAGTATTATAGTGCATATCCTTAGATGCACAAGGAGATATCTCTGCACGTTGTAGGAACATTTCTTCGGAATAAATTTCTGGATGAGCTGCTGATGTGTCCGAGTGTATGTGCATTTTTATAATATTTTATTAAGTGTAATATGTGTAGAAAAGGGATTGTAAGTGTGCAGATCAACAAATGAACTCTCAGTAAGTGGGAAAACCTGTGTGTTTGCATTTTTAATCCTGATAGTGCTAAATTTTGCTCAAATATTAAGCTTTTTGAATTTCCATTTATAAGTTCCATATACATCTCTCTACTGTGACATTTCTCACACTCTCGCTATGTAGCATATAATCCTTCTTTCATTGATCTACCTTACTTGTGTATACTGTGCCAGGCCTGGGCTGGGTCCCGGGGCTGTTGAGATTAATATACCCTCTTCCCCACCTTCCATTTTCTGGGCTCAACAACAAGAACAACAATAATAATAACTGTTTCATTAAGGTTGCCCTTTTTTGGAAACATGTCAGTGTGATTTTTCTCTTTTCCACTTTTATGGCTGTGACCGCCCCCAAACATTCTGCCAAAGGATTTCGACTCATTCAGAGGAAAATGAAGACGTTTTAGCAGCAGACACACAACAAGCACAAAACAGTCACGTGCGTGCTTTAGTGACCAAATTGGATCATGGAGTTCTCAGCAAGACAATAGTTTCGAAAGCAAAGACTCGCAAAAAAGTAAACAGATATCCAAGTCCCTATTTATTAATATTTCAAGAGCCAAGCTTGGAAGACAAGAAGACAGAGTTTTCACCGAGGACGCGGGAAATGATAACAGAGTAGTATCTATCGCGTGGGGAAAGCAGCAGGTGTCGAAAGCTAACGGAAGGAGATATGAGTGGAGGATTCTTGTTCCTCAACAATCTCACTTCAGGGCTAAACCCAGATGGAGATGGGTGACGTTAGAAACTTCCAGAGAGGAACGGGTGAATCCAGGGGCATGAAAGCTAACAGTTGACTTCTCCCAATAAAGGGAGAAAGGTGGAACTTCCAAGCCTCTGGAGAAGCCTGCCTTCTTCAGTTGCCGCACCCAACGTGGTGTCTGTGGGAGCAAAGCTTTGGAATCAGTAGAGACACATGGCTAGGAAGTGGCCCAGCAAGACTCTTCTGGTGGCCGGGCGCGGTGGCTCACGCCTGTAATCCCAGCACTCCGGGAGGCCAAGGCAGGAGGATCGCTTGAGCTCAGGAGTTCGAGACCAGACTGAGCAAGAGCGAGACCCCGTCTCTACTAAAAATAGAAAAATTAGCTGGGCGCGGTGGCGCACGCCGGTAGTCCCAGCTACTGGGGAGGCTGAGGCAAGAGGATCGCTGGAGCCCAGGAGTTTGAGGTTGCAGTGAGCTAGGCTGACGCCCCTGCACTCTAGCCCGGGCAACAAGCAATATTCTATCTGAAAAAAGAAAAAAAAGACTTCTGGTTTCCCATAGCCTGAACATGGGACCAGGTTCTCCTGCATGGGCCCCTGGGAGATGCAGGGCTTCCGAGAGGGTTGCTGGGTAAACGAGGTGGCACCACACACCACCCATAGATAAGACACCCCCTTCAGAACCCAGCTGCTCCCCTGGGGTTCT